AATCAATTTGAATGTTCTTACTGCTATTAGATGCATCTTGATAAGCTCTACAACTTTTGCTAGAAGCCCAAGAGTGATTTACTTAGTAAAAAAAGTTTTAGATAGAAGCACTGTACTTTTAAGCTTATATAGTAGTAAAATTTATATATAAAAAAAATTTTCTTCAGATATCTTGCAGATTGCCTATTAAATTTTAACAGAAATTTCTTAAAAAAACTTATATAAGTTCTTAAGAAATCTCTATTAAAATTTAAGTTTAATACAAAAATCTAATAAAAATTATGATTTAATAAAAAAAATATTGAAAAGATATCAATATTATAGTATTAAAATACTTTAATTTATAATTCTTTTTATCGAAACAAAACTCTTTTTGATGATCATTTGGCCAACAACAACAAAAGCTGAACTACAGCAAAATATATAGAAAAGCAACAAAGTAGATACTAAACTTGGTCCTATAAATAGGAGCAGCTTGTTGTCAATGAAGTCTAAGCATCTAGACATGATACACTAAGAAGTGGCTGTCAAAAGAACAGACAGTTTTCTTTGAGGTTAAGTTTTTTCTTTTTTAACAGACTCCCCAAGATATTCAGTATTCAAACCAGAAAGGTTATTCTAGAAACAAGTCTGTAAAAGTAGCCAACATATACTCCTAAGTAGTAGAAATAGAGAAGCTAGACTATACTTTCAAGAAGAACTCTACATATTCTCTTTGGCCAACTATTTTTTTTCAAAAAATTTTTGTAAAAAGTGGGCATTTTAGTTTATCCCCTTCAAATGATCGACATCATGTATACCAAACAAGTTGGCATTATTTATTTCCCAAATCAGAACATGACAACAAACATGTGTATACATGTATCTCAAATGCAATGGATATCTGTACAAACAATGCTCTGAGACTCTGTTTCGACCTCTCTATCTTAAGTCGGTCAATGAAGTTTTTCCTATAGAGTTTTTATTTTTGTATACTAGTTTAGAGAAAAATAGAAGTAGAGACTAATTTGTCTAGTTAGTATATAATTTTTCTAAGCCACCCACAGGCTTATAATAGTGGTATTAGGATAGAAAAATTGCTTTTTGTTTTGTTTTTTTTCGATATTCCTTTACTCCCTTTTCTTTTGTATTTGTATATTTTCATCATAACCCCTATACCTCTGTAGTTTTTTTTTAGTCTGATTTATGTTTTTTTTTTATTTTGCTTCTTAATGTGGCAGGTAGCTGCCAGCCAATAAACAATGGAAAAAAAATCCTTAGTGAGTTAAGAATACTGAGGGAGGCCAAGAGCTACTTAAGCAGATCATGCCTGATGCATAAAATCACATAGATGAGTCTTGATTTTGGTTGTACCGCTATAGTCATGAGATAAAGTTATTGTAATTTTTGAAAGACTGGTACCATAATAAACAAGGCAGGATAGCCGAATTGGAAAACAAAATATATAATTCTTTTGACTTTAGTAATTTTTTAATCTTAAGTAGCATTTTAATTAATAATATAACTATTTAAATATTTTTTTTAGCAGCTCTACTACAGTACCAAACAGCATAAAATATCTTATTTTAATAGATTTTTTAAAAAAAGTATAATTTGACAAAAAAATTATTAAATACAAAAACCTCTTACTAATTAATAAATTGTAAATAAACCTATATTTTTGTAAGAGGATTTTCTTTTATTTTATTTTTAGCAGTGTTATAATAAGCTAAATTTTGTTTATTTATATGTTCTTTGCAAAATTTTTACTTTAAAGTTCTAACTTAATAGCAAATTGCAGATTCTAATCTAATAATGTAAATTTTTTTACTTTGAAAAAATTTTAGGTGGCGAATTAACCAGGGTACATTTTGTGCGGCATCTATGTTTAATAATGCAACTGTCCTAGCGTTACCAACCTAAAAAATTTCACTTGCCAATCAGATTTCAAGATCAGGAGTGACGCAGAAGAAACGCAAAAAATCAAAACAAATCAAAAAATCGCCCCATAACTCAGCATTTTATCTATTAAACAACCTACTGCGCACTAACAAAAAGCTTTCCATGCGAAATTTTGGTATTACTAGAGCTCTTTATACATAAATTATGGCAAAACATAATCCTAATCTAACAGCGAAATTTTTGTAGCGAAATTTTTTAAGCGGTAACGCTAGATCAGTTTAATAATGCAAAAAATCTGCATTTTCACAGGTTTTTTCAGATCTGTACTAAAAAAATGCCTGATATATACTAAAATCGCGCAAAAAAAACTCTGTTAAAGCATTAAAGATGTTTTCTTATACGAAATTTTGGGAAATAAGCGATTTTTTTACAAAATAACGTTTGTTTTAAATTAGTATTATAAGCCGGCTTATAGATAGCGATAGGTGCCGAAATTCAAAAAAAGAAATTGCAACAATACCACTTGATTATTAATTATTATTTTAATTTCCTTTTTGAATTTCGGCACCCATCGATAAGCCAACTAAGGCAGCCGTGGCTAAGCTGGCTTAGCCGGCTAAGCCAGCCTATATAAAAAGACCGGCTTGCTAATGCGAAATCCCTGTAGCTCACCCACAGAAAATTTCCCGGCACGTGACTTTAGCCAATCAGATAAAAGGATCAGGTGTAACGTGAAAATAAAATCGCTAATAACTCGAAATTTTGCCTACGAAACTGCATTCTGCTTTCTAACAAAAAAAATTCCTTGTGAAATTTTGATATAAGCTATGTCCTCCCTCGGTCGTATTCCTAACTCTAAAGAAGAAGCTTATTACTTTAAAATCTTTCGCTTAATTCGATTGTTTTGATTTTACGTTACACCTGATCCTTCGATCTAATTAGCTAAAAATCACGTTCCGGAAAATTTTTTGTGAGTTTCCAGACTCCTAAAAGCGACTGAAGATCACATGATTATAAGTGGTTAAAATTCCGATAAATTCCGAAAATAGAATGAGCAAGGTTGATTGCGAAAGTTCCGAAAGGTTCGTAAATAAAGTTGTTAGCCAGCTGCTTAGCCGATATTTTTGGATCGGCCGGCTTAGCCAGCCGATTAAACCATTCGGCTTACAACACTATTTTGAATATACCTGATTGTGCTACGTTATATCTAATCTTAAAACTTGATTCGTAGTTCGGAGTATAGATTAGTAAATTCAGCGGATCGACCAAAATTTAGGGTCAGAATAGGCCCGGGGCTAGGGCGGCATTAAGCAATATGCATATTTTGCACGCGTACAGTATACATTTTATTTAGTTCTATATTTAATACAAGTTGCACGTGAAATGAAAGCTGAGTTCCAAGTTTAGTGTTCGAAAAAATCAAGCAAAAACTCGATAATTAAATACTTGCGATTAAATCGGACACTAAATAATCATTGATCAAATCAGTTAAATGTATTACGCATATACAGTACATATCGATAATAATAGTGATTTCCGGCATCTACTATGATAGGGCTTGCCAAATAACTATATATTATTATTATTATTGTCCGGAGCGGAGCGGAGGACCTTTAATTTCTACGCATGGTAATACGAAAGGTACGTTTTTGATGGTTTATATTTAAAAACATCAAAAAAGTAATTCCGAATTTTCTGTCTGTCCACGCACGTGAGCTAAAATATAAAAGTATCGCAGTGATGAATTTTCTGTTCGTCTCCATTGCCTATTGTAGATAATAGTTGTTTGCTCCGGATTAACAACGGTTTCCGTTTCCTAGTTAATCAAGATTTATTCGTCACACGATGATTGGTCACATCCTTAAATATATCATACGTATTTGAATTGAAATACCGATTATGCATTAATATATAATCCGTCTATATGATTTTTTTTTAATAACCGTACGTACTAACTTACACTACCGTACTGTACTAATTTACCATACCCCTATATGCATGGTGAATATAATACGTACATACGTACGTACAATTTTATAGCTTGCAAAGTTACTTAGTTTTGAATGTTAAATATATAATTAATTGTATAGGCCCAATATTCCATTATATTATTTCAACGTTATCTACATACGTACGTAACACCTTTATAGGTGCCACAAAGCTTGGCGATAAAGGAACTAACGCTAAATCTAAATTGTAAAGTTATAAATAGGAAATCAAAATTTTAAGTTTATATAAGCTACGTATATATATTTGATCATATATATAGTGTAATCTTTATTATGAGGTGTATATATATACGTACTATGAATATGATCTGTTATTAAGCTTCCATATCGGTATATTATTAAAAATTACAGAATTATTAAAAATAAATTTACACGTGACATCACGGGGCTCAAACATTTTTCGGTTTATGCGCCCATGTGTACCGATATACGATCTACATAAATCAAGTAAATCAAGTATAAAAAATTACAAACATGTATCAGTTTACTTTTTCTAGCTAATGAATCTAATATCGTAATCTTGAAAGTTAATTATTACGCATTTTTGTTAACGACATAAAAATCTTTGATTATTTCTCTTCTAAGCAAAACTTCCACGATTACATATTACTTTCATTCGGTTTTATTTTCTGTTTTTAAGCCAATGAATGAAAACTGCTATTTTTAGTGTAAAAGTTATAACTGCCAATAAATGTTCTAACTATGAAAGCCTTTCACTCTTACCATTTATAAAACCTTGCTCTTAAATATTTTATTTTATTCTTGTTTCAATTAGTTGACTTCCTAACGAGAACCTTTCTTTTGGCTCCCTTTAAAAAGTCTATACAAGACTTTACCAATTTGATTTAATGAGCTCTTCACACATATATATAACAAGGACGAGGTGGGTTTTGTTAACGGCTTTGCTCATCATTTTAATGACCAAAATGAATGCCGTCGATGCGCGTAAGTACATAATTTAATATCCTTGATGTTCCTGAATTATGATGCATGTAGGGGAATTTATTTCCTCCTGCATCGATGGATAAATTTTCATTATTCAAGTCTGATATTACATTAATCCTGAAAATGTAAATTTTAAATCATTTATTTTTTTATAGAAAGTACAAGATGTTGCTTTTCATTAGGATACAATGTCACGCAACCGCCAAATTTGTATCGGGTTAGTGTAAATGCTTCCCATGTGGATTCTCGTAAATATAACAACGCGTACGTTGTCACGATTACGTTTCCACCAGGCTACATAGTGCAAGATGAACCATCTTCCCCTTATTCATTTGTATCATGCTTAAGAAAAGATGATTTTGGTTATGTCTATAAATGTGATTCAAAGGACAAAGCGACTTTTTATGTTGAAATGACTATCTCAATACCACAAATTCCCCAAAATAACACTCCAAATGCAACCGTATACATATGGGGTGATCATTGTAATAATCAGGATGTCTGTCCAGATCTAGCTGCTTTAGCTGATTCTGCTAATAATGATAAGATGTCACTCGGCCCATTTGGCACTTGGCCGAAAGTTGGTGTAGTTATCTTTATATGTGCTCTAGGTTTTATTATATTAGTCACATGTTTTGTAATTATCAGAAGAAATGGTATGGCAAATATAAACTCGAGAAGGTCAAATTATCCTGATGAAGGTCGTGACGAACCCGACCAATTTTTACATGATGAGAACGATGATAATGACCTTGCACAAATGCCATTAAAAGATACATTAACTAATGTTGGAAGCAAGACATCACGTAAAGACAAAGACATGCGTAGTCCGTCAATCAAAAAAAGTTCAAATAATGATGATATTAAGCGATCAAAATCACAAAGAACACAAAATAGCAAGAAAAATCTTACTAAACTTAATGTTTCTGCCGAAAAACAACCAGTTGCATTAACTGACTTAAAGCATAATGAACATTCTTATGATAATTTTATACATGATTATTATATTGATGTGGATAGACAACCCACTATTGATAGAAATTCTTTGATAAATGAAAAAGATGCGTATTCATCAAATAATGAAATATATGAAAATTCTTTGAAAACAAACCCACGAGTCGAGCAAGAAACTGCTGATATAACTCACTTTAATCATACAAAACAGTGATTATTTTCGATTAAAAACTTTTTAAGTTTAGCCGAGTCGATAATTTTGATACGGTTAAGCTGGCTTAGTCCGTTATTTAAAAAATTAAAACGGTCAATTATGAACTATAATCCGGAAATTTCCGTTGGCAACACTGATAAGAGATTTATAATTAATCGCCAGCGTGGTGTATCTCCACCTCCTGATCGACCAGTCAAGGTGCAGGATGTAACGTGACGTAAAATCGAAACAATTATTATTATTTTTGTTATATCGCACACAATTCAGAATTTCGTCTTTAAATCTCCCCTTTTAAAAAAAAAAATTTTTTTCAAAAACTTTTAAGCTAGAGAATTTTTTAATTATTGTTTTATTCAAACCTAATTTAACTTATTTTTTAAAAAATCTATTTTGGTTTAATGCTAGTACATTGCACGAATAGTAAATAATATATATTTTTTTAAAAAAAAATGAATATTGCATAATGTTTTCAAAATAAAAAAATCATTGTAATATTTTAAAATTAATAATAAAAAAAAAATGTGCTTGTCGCCGAAGCGTGTTCGACCAATCAGATCGTGTAACGTGATGATCAAAACTAACATTAGGGTTGGGATTAGGTCGGGATTAGGTCGGGATTAGGTCGGGATTAGAAGAGTTTACTAATTTCTCCCCCACTTCTGATTGGTTTTACTAATTATTCACATATCGGAGTACCTGTGTTATTAATCAATTTTATAGTATATGAGTGCCGTCAAAGGAAAACCTACAATCTGGCTTTCAATTATATTTTGTGCACAGTTGGCATCTATCGACAATCTATCACACAAAATATGATTGTCGATAGCTGACCAACTGTACACAAAATATATATAATTGAAAGCCAGATTGTAGGTTTTCCCTTGACGGCACTCATATACTCTGATAGTGAAGTGGGGGAGAAATTAGTAAACTAGGATTAGAGTAGGGTTGGGAGCACGGGAAATTTTTGATGCATGCCCGGGGGGCATGCCAAAGATCCGTAAAATTTTAGATATAAAATTTCGTCAACCCAAATTTTCTAAAATTTTAAATTCTAGAAAATTTATATCTAAAATTATCAAATTTAACTAAAATTTCTAAAATTTTAAATTCTAGAAAATTTATATCTAAAATTATCAAATTTAACTTAAATTTAAAATTCTAGAAAATTTATATCTAAAATTATCAAATTAAACTAAAAATTTCTATATTACATTATATATATAGTTTGTGATACATTTGTGCGAATCTATTTATTCGCGGCGGTGACAATAATCGGGTTGCAATTGGCCAACCATTTCAGGTAACCCGAAAAACGAATAGCTCAAAATTTCACCATCATTCATGTTCTAATTAAAAAAATTCTTCGCCAAATTTTACTACACGTGATGCTTTGCCCTAACCTAACTCAACTCTAACCTTGATCCTAACGATAATTAACCTTTCGTTTTCGTGGTTGGTCAGTTGCAATCCGGTGTAGAGACTGTACTCGAATCAACTCGTAGCTTAAAAAAAATAGTCTTAACTCGAATTAACTCGAGTCAAGACTATGTTTTTTTAAGCTACGAGTTGACTCGAGTCCAGTCTCTAATCCGGTGACCATCACTGCGACGACGAGATTATTTCTTTGTTTTAATAAAAAAATTTTACACAAACTTAAAGACATAAATTTATGTGACTTAGTGCGATTTGATTTCTAATTATTTTTATATTTGCGATAAATCAAATTACAAACTTGTGTTTTTACAATAATATTCTTCGAATAATTAAGTATTAAATCATTAAAAAAACTTAAAATATTGTATTTAACAAAACAAAAGAATAAACTTATAAATTTTTCTAAATTGAAATTAAAATTTATCTTAAGTTTATTTATTTAAATTAAAATTTATCTAAAATTTATTTAATTTAAGAGTAGAGTGTTAATATTTTTAAATTAATATAAAATAGTTTGTTTTTTTTTTATAATTCGGCAATCCTGCCCTTGTTTATTTGGGATCAAGTTATCCAAAATTACAAGTAATTCATCTCTAATTTAAAGTCGATCCAACCAAACAAAGGACTCACCCACGTGATTTTATACACCAGGTGTGACCTGCCTCAGTAGTCCTTGGCCTCCCTCCGGATCCTTAAC